CGGATTTGTTGGCTAATCCACGGTATATTCACAGTACATCATTGATGATGGAATTATTCAAATAAGCCATATGTAATAACTATTTTGCATATAAGCTTCTATATATCAGAAATTATATTTTGCCTTTGTATGTTCTACAACAATTATGCAGAGATACTTCCTAAAATAATAACAGTAAAAGACACATACAGGACTTACCAAAACATCACTCCAGTAGTGTCATAAAATAAGAAGTAACAAATAAATAATAAAATCGTAGGACATCGCCAAAAAGTAATATACTACAAAATAGAAGACAAGGTTAAACATTTCTACACTTACCAGCAGCTTTAAAAATATTATTGGCGTAAAATAGGATACCATTAATTCCATTTAGTTGCTGCGATACAAGAAGACCAACTCCTATCTGTAGGATAATAAAACAAATATAAGCAGTCAATAAGATGTTTATTATGCAAAAAAATGGAAATGTATCCAGATTCCAGAACCATTGGCATGAACGATACCATAAGGGGAAGTTTGTATCTTCTAAGCTTGAGATCTGAAAATCGGATCGCAGTCCTTTTGGTACTTGATTGTACTGATCTCTGCACAAAGTAAAATATGGATAAACATCTCAAGAGATTAAGAACATATCCAATGAAAATTATCCTGAACTCCACATCTGAAATGCTTCGTAAAACTTATTTAAAAAACACAGTTTTCTTCAATATGAATAGGAAGCTTAAAAAATAACAAACAAAACAGCAACATAAATGTTTCCCACAAAGTTATGCAGTGTGGCATATGAGTGCTTCTCCAATATGAAAATTTGATATAAAAATAAGCAATCTACGAATATATGATTTACCCCATCAAAATGTCAGGACTATAAAGCAATAAAGCATGACGGAAGGTTGAGAGAAGATCAACAAAAGAATTGATAGTGTTTTGCAAAAGGTGGCAAAATTTCCACAAGTACAAAATTTATAACGTGTCACAGACTCACAAAAATTGAAAACTTAATCCGGTTTCTAAAATATGATGTGCTTACAAATGGAAAGGGCAAGCCTCAATAACGAAAGTTAAACTACTCTATTGATTTATAGTGTTTCATGATATCCAACTTCACACTCTGATGTCGAATGTTCTTCAACCAGAGGAGATTTGATGTAGAAAACTTCAAGAAAAATTCACCAAGAAACACATAAAGACAGTGGAAAAAGAAAGAAACAAGAGGGTTGAGACCTCTTTTAGTGCTATAATTTTGATTTTCATAGAAATTTTCTTGTATCCTGATCTAAAAAAGTCAAGCTATTAGCTAAGAATTTAGTTAATTTAGAGTTCTAGTTGATTTGGAAATTCATTTATAGTCTAATTACTAAGAAATCTTTTATTTTAGTATGAATACAAGTTTTTCTTACTAATTAAGGCTAGGTTTTTTGTAGTCAAATTTTGTAAATCTCCAAAATATTTGCCTGTCTTCAATAAAGAGGATGGAGGTGTTTATAAAATTATGATCTCTATGGACAAGCGTGCGGTCTTCTTCTACGCTTAGATGTATATTATAACTTTGGGTGCAAATCTAGTTTTACAAGGTGTGAAACGTCAAGACATGTGACCTCTTATCTGGTGAGAAGCCAACGATGCAAGCATAAAGAAGAAACTCTAATCTTCTTCTTTTCCTCCTCCTTAAACCCCTTGTTAATTCCTGCATATTCTTTTTCAACAACAATAGGTGGAGAAAGCTCCGGAAAAGCATTGAGAAAGTTTACAAAACCAGTTAATGACAATCTTTCCTTTATAAGAACCATGATGTAAGATCTAGTGCTAGTTATTTCTCATGCAAATTCTCTATTTCATGATGCAGCATGCAACCAAATCTCCAGGCCCCAAGAGTGGAAAAGGACTGAGAAGGGACAAAAGTAACAGAGTATGATGAGAAATCAAATAGGGAAGAAAGAGTAGTACATATGTGTTTGTTCGGTTACAGATTTAGTTGATGTTTGCACCTTGATTTCATTGACTTCAGCAGTAATGTCAGTATCGAATCCCCTCAAAACTTGCAAGGAAGCTTCAAAATCTTCCATCGTCCCCATTTTTGCCTGATTAAATGAAGAAAACTATTAGATATATCTGTAAGGTTGGAGACGTACATTCGTCTTGAAGGGACAATATGATTCATAAACCTTACCAGCCACCTTGGGGATTCTGGGATAAAAAATAATGCTGGAATGAGGATCGTGCATGGCAAGCATCCTGTAATTAATAGCATGGCAAGGATCAAAAAGCTTGTTATGAAAAATTCCCAGAATGCTGGAAAAGATCACACACGATCACAGAATATATATCGAGAAGTAAAACATACAGCTCTAATGAGGTTCGGTTTTTAGCCAAGGACCCTAGGAAGGAGTACAGCTTTACTATCACATTGTCATTGTGGGTACAACGGTGAAGAACTCCCAGATCCTTAGCTAAAATACACCCTTAATCTCACATACAATCTCTCCCCAACAACTCTCTGAAGCTTGTAGAGAAAACCGAACTCAAGAGCCTTAAGTAATTGCATAAGAAAGGGTATTTACAGATCAAAGAAGAACCCTGCTATGAAGTTGGTGCTTCTCCGAATTGGGTGATGGAAGGCGGGAACAAATTTGAGTTCCAATGATTGGAAAAACCATTTCTAGCTAGGTTGACTTGTTAGTCCAAATAAAACAAGACTTTCTAATCAACTCTTTGTCCTTGTGTTCGGCCAGCAGCAAGCAGCCATATTTGCTGAAGTTATGAACAAATTAACACATAAACGCATGGGAGAGATCAGCGATGACCGTCCCGGAGCAGACGGCGAGGGAAAGCCCCAACCATAGCTGACAGGACGAGACGCGTAGGGATGAGACTCGTGAGGGGCGGGTGGGTCTCTTGGATTCACGGTGACGGGGGTCTTTTTTTCGCGTTCGTTTTGGGTTGTGGACCATTTGTACCTGCGGACGCTAACTCAGAAGCAGGCTCCGTCCGTCACTATTGTGTTTTAACCAGTACAGCTGACGCATGTGGGCCTGTACTAACAGGAGCCCATCGGGTTTAGACTGATCTTTTCTACATGCCCAAGGGATGACGATCATGAGCATGTATGTACATAACTTCAGCTGCCCCCAAGTAGATACGATCGCATCCAACACGTCCAACCGCAATTCTGAAGAAGAAAAAAATTATTTTAAGCGCACAACTTAATTGCTCAAGATGTTTACTTAAAACCATATGTTGCTTTCAAACAACTTAAGTTGTGTTTGTGGAAAATTTTGATGTAAAAGAAATGAAAGAAAAATTGATTTGTATTCCTTCGATCTCAATTACAATTTGGATTTCGATTACAAAAGAGAGGAGAATGAATTTGATTCTCCCCTTTGTTTAAAATTGGGTTCTTCACGGTGGTGATGGAGTGCCTCCTTCGATTGCTTGCGTCGAATTTGCTCTCCGTTGACTATCCGAACGTCTTGATTCACTGGAACGATATCCTCTCCTCACGATTCGACGCTGTGGAGAACTTGCGTGACAAGTTTGAAACTCTTGATGAGTTGATAACTCTGAACGAGTTTGAAACTCTATGAAAGAGTTGATTTAACCGAAGGTTGATTATAAGCCAAGGATGAAGGCTCTCTGTTGCTGAAGTTGAAGATGATCTTCGTTGGCGGATGATGCCGATCTCTTCAAAAGCTCGCCCAAGGATTTCTCCTGTTGCTGCCAAGCCGAAGGGTAAATCCGAGCCAAGAAGTTCCAACCCAGACCGAACCCTGAACTGAATTGATTTTCAGTTATTTATAGAGGAATGTCTCTAACCTTATTTCTCCCCCCAAACTCAACATCCTCAAAGAATGTTGTTGTTCTCGTCTCAAAAATATTTCTGACTGTGTGATCATAAAACTTATAGCCCCTAGAGCGTTCAGAGTACCCAATAAAGTAGTAGCTAACTGTTTTGGAGTCCAATTTCTTTTTATTTGGCCTATAAGGCATTGCCTCAGCTGGACATCCCCAAATATGTAAGTGCTTTAAACTAGGCTTTCAACCAGTCCAAAGCTCATAAGGTATTTTAGCAACTGCTTTACTTGATACTATATTCAGAATATAAGCTGCTGTCTTTAGTGCTTCTCCCCAGAGTGACTCTGGTAAATAAGAATGAGCAATCATACTTTTTACCATATTCTTAAGAGTCTTGTTTCGTCTTTCAACTACACCATTCATGCTAGATGAACCCGGCATTATGTACTGTGAGACGATATCACATTCCTCTAGGTATCTAGTAAATGGTCTTGGACGTTGTTCATCTGAATCATCATATCTGTCGTAGTACTCACCACCACGATCAGATCTAACGATTTTAGTTTTTTTGTTAAGTTGATTCTCAACTTCAGCTTTATAGGCTTTGAACATGTCCAGAGACTCCGATTTCTCATGAATGAGATATATGTACCCATAACATGAGTAATCGTCTATGAATGATATAAAATATTGTTGATCATTCCAGGATGTCATAGGAAATGACCCACAAATATCCGTATATATCAATTCTAAAACATCCGAAGATCTGTTGACACCTAATCTCTTAACTTTGATCTGTTTTCTCTTGATACATTCAACACATACGTCAAAGTCCGGAAAATCAAGGAAATCCAAAATGCCATCGGACACAAGACGCTCAATTCTACCTTTTGAGATATGACCCAAGCGTTTATACCATAATATCGCCGAATTTTTCTTATTTAATTTATGCTTAGTACCACGTGATTCCACATGCAAGGATTTATTATAAGAAGCAATTGTATCGAGCAAATATAGGTTGTCATAAGTACTCAAGTAACCAGTTCCCACAATATTTGAATTAAAAGATAAACTGAATTGATTGTTTCCAAATGAACAAGAATAATCTGATTTGTCCAATACAGAAACAGAAACCAAATTCCGTCTAAAAGACGGTACTACAAAAGTATCTTTTAAGTCCAAATAAGAACCAGTTCCTAATAGCAACCTAAAATACCCAATTGCTTCCACATCTACCGATTGACCGTCGCCCATAAAGATGTGTCTTTTAACATCACTTGGCTTTCGGTAGCCTAGGCAACCCTGCATAGAAACACTTATGTGAGTAGTAGCACCAGAGTCTAACCACCAAGTGTTTCTAGGTACTGAAGCTAAATTAACCTCAGAACAGACCAAAGTAAGGAACATACCCTTATTAACACGTCAGGCGTGATATTTGGTACAATCCTTCTTTACGTGTCCAGGTTTGTTACGGAAGAAACAACCCATATTTTTCTTATGTTGTTTTTTCTGAACTGAACCCTTAGTAGCTCCATTATCATTCTTTCTTTTCCTGCCCTTATCCTTAGAGGCATATACCAAATAAGCACTCTCAGTCTTATCTTGCTTCAACCTATCTTCTTCTTGCACACAATATAAAATGAGCTCATTTAGAGTTCATTTCTCCTTTTGACAGTTATAACTGATCTTAAACTGATTGAATTGTGCAGGAAGAGACAACAGAACCAGATACACCAATAACTCATCACAAAGATCGAGTTTAAGTACCTTAAGCTTTGAAGTAATATGAGATATTTTCATAATGTACTCTCTGATATTTCTGTTGCCCTTATACTTCATTGAAATCAAGCGAGCTAAAAGCGTGCTTGTTTTTATCTTATCATTTTTCACAAAACGTTTCTCAATTTCGGCAAGGAAATCTTTAGCCTTAGTAATCCATTCGGATTCTATGTCCCTGAAGGCTTTCAGAACGTCGTGCTTAATGATCATAAGACTCATGCGATTTTAACGCTTCCACTTCTCATACTCCTTCTTTGCATCAGGAGTGCTTTCCGTAGTGAGAAGTTGGGGTTGTTCAGTCCTTAATGCAAGGTCTAGATCTATGCAGCCGAGAATAATTAAAATATTCTCTTTCTAAACCTTAAAATTTGTCCCATTTAGCATGAGAATTGAGTTGATGTTAGCAAAAATTATTGCAGCAGATGCATTAGCTGAAATAAAATAAAAAATGCTCATATTAGTAATCAATAAAATTTAAATAATAACAAATCCCATGCATCCAAGATATCTGGTACAACATTAATATCAAGTCTTTAGACAATAATATTAATTGCAAGTGATATCTTGTTGCAATAATCAAACACTGATAATAACACATGTCAAATAATGAAACTATCTTTGGATCGATTCATTATCCACATGTAAAACTTATAATTGTCACATGTTTATCATCACAGATGTGTATACAATCTAAATAAATATTAACCTTCCTTTGGGCCGATTAGATATTTACACGAAAACATACACATAAACATCTCACATCCCTCATAAACAATCTACACAAGAGAGGTTATTTTAGCAACATCTTATTTTAATTAATCATTTGGAATGAGAGACAACTTAATATCTTAGTGTCATATTATTTGAATTAAATAATTGATTAACTATCAAAATTAATTCAAATTAAACAACTTAATTTGAATTAGAAGAATTTTCCATAGCTTAATTAGGACCCATAACTTAATTGAATAAATTAAGTATACCAAAGTGGACCCATAATTTAATATGAAAAGCCGAGGTTTAACCATAGTGAACACGAAGTTCGCTTGACTTCGAACGCTATGTTCGTCTGTATTGAGTACAAGACTCACCTAAGAACGAACGCGAGATTCGTTTGAAAAATGAACGTGATGTTTAACTTGAGAACGAACGTGAGGTTCGTTTGGATTGAGCACAGGGCTCGCCAGAGAATGAACGCGGAGTTTGACTTGAGAACGAACGCGAGGTTCGACTTGAATTGAGCGCGAGGCTCACCTGAGAACGAACGTGAAGTTCGTTTGAATTGAGCGTGGGGCTCACCTTAGAACGAACACGAAGTTCGTTTGAAATGAGCACGAGGCTCACCTTAGAACGAACGCGAGGTTCAACTTGAATTGAGCGGGAGGCTCACCTTAGAACGAACGCGAAGTTCGTTTGAATTGAGCGCGATGCTCACCTTAGAAGAACACGAAGTTCGACCTGAATTGAGCGTGAGGCACAACTTAGAACGAACGCGAGGTTCATTTTGAAGCTTTCAAACCTCGCCAAAATTGAGGTAACCACCTCCTTAATTCCCGCACGTTTTCACACATGAACCCTTAGGGTTTCATTCTAAAACCGCTGTCGCCATTGCTTCTGCACCCAAAGGTCGAAACCCTAGGGTTTCCTGACACCGCCGTCGCCATCGGAGTCGAGAGCGAGGCCGCCAGCGATACTTCGTCGGCGAGGAGCACGGGACCGATGACCAAACAAAATAGATCCAAAAGATTCCTCGATTTTATTTCAAAACCAGATCCAGAATCGAAAGATAACTTTTTGATCCAGATCCCAAAAAAATCGAAGGAAAAAACAACAAAAATTAAAAAATATACTGTTCACAGAAACTTATTGTTCATCTGTGAACAGTTCTGAGAAAAACAGAGTTTTTAAGATCAAAAAACCTAATTTTTAAGAACTTAAACCCCTAAGAGTTAATCACGAGTGACTCTGATACCACTTGTTAGATCTAATATTTAAGATCTAAATCTTAAAGCCATTATTAATTCAAATAGATTAATAAGAATCAAAAGGTGCGAAAGCATATACCTGAATCCATTGAGGAAAACCTGATTAGGGTTTTGATGATCTTCTAACATTAGGGTTTCTTCCTTATGGATCTCTTTAGATGGGGATAAGAGAATGAGAGTGGCTAACCCTAGATTAGGGACCATAACCCCATATATATATATATGTGTTGTATATTTGTAATTTGATCCCTC